GGCATGATGCTTTTGAAACGGCAAAAGGAATACATCAAAATGCAGGGCACATTTCATAGATCTTATTAATGTTTTCTATGTCTTGATAGCATTTTGAGGCTTTGTCTCTTTTATTTCTCCTTCTTGCATCCTGTGGCTAACCCCTCACAGACATGCACACATGACACATGCACACATTCACCTGCTACTAGGACTCAGTGCTCCCATGTTTTCTTTTCAGTCTGTATCTTTGGCATTCACTTGTTTTCTCTTCAAGTTCAGAGGAGCTCAGCCAACCTCGTTTCCCTGACAGCTGATAAGGAGAGAGAAGGTAATCATCCTGGTCCTCTTGGAGCAACCATTTTTATGCAATACCTGCATAGAAATTGCACAAAGAGGAGACTTGCAGCACCTTTAAAGACCAGCAGGGCAAGTTGTGGCATAAGATGACATGGGACTAGAGCCCACTTTAGCAGATTCTTGAAACACTGTCTATAGCTGGCAATTATATGGATGGCTGGATGGATGTGATGCAAGTACTGAGGTCAAGAGACCATGAAACCTAAAGACACCAACTGTGATGCTTCCATGCAAAGCTGAAATATGTACAAGATAAGCGCAGTGGATGGCAATATAATGATATTTGGAGAACATTTTCAGCTGGCCCCACAAACTAGAGCAGTTAAGCCCTTTATCCCACTTTAACAGATTTGTGGATGTGATATCATGGCAGAAGAGAAGGACAGAATATTTCATTTTTGGAAAACAAAGGTCAGAAGTATGCTGTTAAATATATCCAAAATTAAAATGTAAAAAGCAACATATTTAAGTGTCTTTCTTGTGATTATTTTCTTTCTTGTTAGAGAGCATAATGGAACTACAGAGAACGTTTATTTTATTGAAGCAAATATTTGTTGTCAATGCTTGTACACAGATCCATTTAACTTTACATAATAGTCATAAGGTGCAAAACCACTGAGCTGGCTAGAATTTTAGCCAGTTTAAAATAGGAGAAGGGGAAATGCCTTACATAGTTTCTTATGGATTAGAAACATTAAAGAGAGATTCATTGTGTTAGTCTGCTTCCCTCTGCCACCTGATTTATCTCAGTTTCTGCTTGCTAGGAACACATTATCTCTCCAGAGCATTCCACAAGTTATATTTTGGATGTATATGTAACAATGCAGTGTGTGAATGTGACAAGCAGGTGTTTGGAAGAACACTTGGTTGCATGTTTCTGTTTTCTTCAGCAATGTGTGAAACAGTGTCCAGTTTTTCCAGGGATTGGCTCACCTTTCACACCACTTAAATATTTATATATATTTGGAAGTTATCTGTTTTCAGACAGTATTTTTACAGGCCTCTGTTATGTGCTTCTGAGTATAATCAAAGCTGCCAGGTCGGTATATAATTAACAAGTTGTCTTGAAATGATATTGATCCTTCCCAGAAAATGCTCGTGACTTGGTCATCTCTACTTCTGTGCTTCTGGCACAGAATAACCCAAACATAAGAACATAATATCCAGGGCTCTGCTGGATGAGTCCAACCCCTATCAAATTCAGCAGTTCTGTTCCCACAGAGGCCAGTCAGGTTCCAGTGGGAAGCATGAATAAATTCACATCCTTCTGCTCATTTTTCACAACAAGAGGTATATGGAGGCATACTGGAGATACTTAATAACTATTCTGCCAGTACCACTGATATCCTTATACCTGTTGGCAAATACCTTTTAAAGCCATCCAAGTTGGTGTCTATCATTACTCCTTCCCCCCCTCACAGCAAGCTTACTGTCTTCCCGATGCTCTTCCATTCAGTAATACACAGATTCTGACCTGTCTTTCTGCATCTGGAATCTTTCACTGCATTCCCTAAGGGGAATTTCCTTATTGTCAACTGGCTCAGACAGGGAATTGGGCAACCTCCCTACCCATACATATACTTAGTGCTTGCAAATTGAGTACCACCTCATGTGTAGCTACTCAAAGATAATGTCTGTGTGGCATCCAACACCTAAACTGTCTCCTGTGCTCAGCTCCTGAATAAAATGGATATGTTGTGCTAGAAACGAAGGAGATGCAAAGCTAGGTCACACTCTGGGAAAGCAAACCAGACAGTCATGGAGCTCATATTCAAGTGAGAAGTAGCAATAGGCTTGTTCATGTTATGCTTTCCTTCCTGGTTGGCTTCACATCATGAAACTATGTCAGAGCAGGCATAGGAGCTTCCAAAAGACATGTGTAACAAATAGCGTATGGGCTATTTCTCCCCACTCAACAATCAGTCATTTGGATATATGCCTGGTCTGCACTTTATCCATAGAAAATGAATATCAGTTAGAAGATAATCTGCTCAAGTTAAAGGAAGCCAGATGAACATTCATCTGCCTAGTTATCCATCATGAAAAACTTCTTGATCTGTACAGCAGTACAGCAATGGAACCAATTACTTAGGGAGGTTGTGGGTTCTTCCATACTGCAGGCATTCAAGATGCATCTGAACAGCTATGTGTTAGGAATGCTTTCATTTCGAGCTCTGCATTGAGCAGGGAGTTGAACTCAATGGCCTTATTGGCCCCTTCCCATTCTACTATTTTATAATTATATGGCATTTCTACCTGTGCAAGCAACAGCACTTACAAAACCATGCTGGACCCTTTCAACCAGCTGAACCTCTTGTGTGTCACTGCACAAATGACAAGCTCTGGAATCCACAGCTGGGCAATACCTGTATGAGAATCAGCAAAAATTTCTCAAGTTTATATAAGCTTTAAAGTTCAACAGAACTCTTCATCAGGCTAGTCATATTTCTTACCCAATACCCTGCCTTCTGTACCATCCCTATCTTTTGTACCATCTAGATTTCTGAAAACTTGGAAGTGCATACAATCTGTCAGCATTCTGGTTGGTTCTAATAAAGCTATTGCCCAGCTCTGGATTTGCAATTGTTTTTTACCTTTCATGCATCAACTTAGCTACATGTGTGGGTTTAAATCCTGAATGGATCATCTACGTGGAACAGCTATAGGGTGGTGGAGAGGGGAGGAGATGGATGACAGAAAGAGAGTTTTGAGATATATATGATATAAAGATTGTCAAAGATCTGAAGGCCACAGAAGTTTCCAGTGTCATCTCTTAAGCTGGCGGGTGCTCGAAGCAATTAACACATGTCCAGCATCTTCCCCGATGGGGTTCAAAATCGGAGACCTCCAATGTGAAGGAGGAAGTGTTACCGGCTCGGACATCCAGCCCCGGGACCAGAATAGAGTATCTTGTTCCCCATTCGAAGTGTGGAGGTCCCGTGTCCCCTGCAGGGGAGGGGGCACGCCACTCTGGGGTGAAACTGATCGTTTCTCTGGGAAAGGGCGCAGATGAAGCAGCAGCTTCCCACACACCCCGGGGTACAGCAGCATCGTGCGTCTTCTTCTGGCCTCAGGCAGGCGTGCACGAACTCTCCTCTCCCCACGCCCTGCCCACCTGAGCACCAGAGGCTCCCACTGGATGTCGTCGGTGCTGCGTCAGTTGGAGGGTGAAAGCGATTGGGGGACGGCCCGCGTTTCTCCTTTTTTGACTAATTATAAAGTCGCGCTGTCCACTGCCCCGGGTCCTGATTTTGCTGGAGAGCGTCGGAGCTCCGTCTCGGGAGAGGAGTTGCGGCGACGGAGGCGCCACCTGCCCCTCTGCCCTGTAAGTTTTACTGGAGCTGAGAATCCTCAGGAACTGCATGCAGCTCGTTACTTTTTCTCCAGTGAGCTTAGTATGTGACGGCTTCCCTTCCCTTCCCTTCCCTACCCTACCCTACCCTTCCCTTCCCTTTCCTTCTGCAGTACCTCGGGAAGCAAACAGCGCCGAGCTCGTCTGCAAATACTTTTCCAGCTGCGCTAATCGAGAGGCTTCCGCAGGGACTGCTGCTCATTTCCAAAGTAAGGACTGTGGGTCCGCGAGGGGAAAGGCATGTAAGTGAAAGGGAGAGTGCTGTCGAGGGGTGTGGGACTATATTCGGGAGAGTCCTGGTAACGCCCCACCCTGTCTTTTCTCAGCCAACTTGCAAAGCTCAGCATCGAAGAAAAGGGATCGCATGTGTTGCTGGTCCTGTAAGTCTAGCCAAGAACTTGGAAGAAACTCCCTTCTGGCCACGCTTGGCACTGGCTACTGCCCGGTGCGCTCCCTTCCCTGCCCGATTAGCGCCAAAGCTTCCTCTTCTCTTGGCCCCTTGATGCTAAATCTTCAAAGGCTGAACCAATTCTAGACAACGTCCATTGCAACACACATAGCTAAAGTTGGATATTTTTCCCTTGGTTTACCTATTTCACTCAGCATTTTGTACTTTGCTAGAGTAGCATTTAAGACATTTTTACATTTTCCTTTCCTAGTCAAGTGGGTGAAATGTCATTATAAACAGCAATAACGGGGAATACAGAACCAAGGAATTGTCATGGTTCCAACTGATCCTATGTGAAATTAATCAATCAATCCTAAGTGAAAACAGATGAAGGAATCAAACATCTATTCAATGGTTTGGTTAGAAAAATTTTCCTTCTTCTTTGCTTCTTCATCTTCTAGTGTTAATTTTCAGGATTGTATTCGATGTTAATCCTACATAGAGTAGATCCATTAAAATGGATGGGGCTTACCTTTGCCTAATATTGGATGTAACATTCAGGATCTTCCTTGTCCAAAGTAGGCAACCAGCATTATTATAAATGATGACTTTTGACTTTCTGATATGCTAGGGCACCATAAACATATTCACTCAAAAATGAAGAAATATCACATAGATGTTAATGCCATGATCTCCAGTGCTTTCCCTTTCTTGGAAGTATGTGCCACTGTAATCAAAGGAAATTGACTGTGGGCAAATTTGTTCACATTCACGCTTGTAAGTACTGTATCTGATATATTACATTTAGAGTCCTTTCACCTGGATGCTCTTTTGTTTCTGAATTTGTAGCACAAGATACATTGGAACGAACAGAAAGTGACTGTCACCTGGTTAAGCTCTTGCTTCTTCTTTTTACAGACTATGGCATTGCTCTTGAGATGTCATTTATTGATCTTGTCTCTCAGTACATGCCTCATCCTTACTGTTCAGGCAGAATGTAGCAAGGATTGTGCATCCTGTACCCAACGATTGGCATACCATGCCGACATTAACCCCCTGGTAAGCAGAATTTACTCTTCTCTTTCCAACTAAAAAATCTCAAGAGGTAGATTACCAGGGAAAATTATAAGGGCGCAAGCAGTTTTCAAAAATTATGTAATGTAATTAGCACAGATGTGATAGCCAATCACACATAAACTTTAATCCCATTTGATGAGCAAAGTATATTCCCATATATTTCTCACATGCATTTATATGAGAAGTGGTACTTCTAATCTGTCTCAATGTGTCTGAATAAAACAGAAAGAATGAGAAGTTCCTCTAAGTGAGCAATATAGAGTATGCATTTACAATTTTATGGCCAATACCTTTTCTTACAGGGTCAAGTATGTACTTCTTCACCCTCTAGCAAAATATTGCCAGATCTCTATTCTTGGGGTTATTTGATATCAGGTATGGGAGTTATCTACATTTCAATGACAGATTAATAATTAATATTTGTAAAACCTGTCATCTTGCCCCCAGACTTTTCAGTCAGTTCAGCACTATGAACATTTCTCACTCTTTAAAAACTAGTTCCTACTAGATAGTTTGCATGACCTTTGAGATTATTGTACATCGGGAATGAGACAGAAGAGATAGAATGCATTTTGCATTGGATAAGAAATTTAACTAATACATTTGCACTCCTAAACTGTAGAAAAGGTGAAGCAAGCATCACAGAGATGCCTGAAGGAAAACACTTTTAAAAGATTAAGCAGACACAGTTCAGAGATGGGTTGGAGCCTTTTAGTGCCAGACATCAGTAAGCATATGTAATATCCATTTGGACCTGGGCTTTGGTTTTCCTATGAGGACATGACTTCCCTGTCAAATATTGCCTCCCCAAACCAGTGGGGACCTCTGTTGTCCAGTAGGGACCTTCTGTGGTATGAATTGTATGGATTAATCAATGCACGAATGTTGATCCTTGTGACAAAGATTACACTGAATTGACTTTTGCTATCTTCCAACAAATCCTTCTGTGTAATGTGAGGTGTGCATGTGTCACTAGTTCTGTGCACACGTAAGGGAGTAGAATTTCTGCTGCGCAACAGCAAACTTCCGTGTCACAATGCAAGTCAATTTTGAAATTAATTATTTCTTTTTAAAATACACTATAGTCCACTTTCCTTGAAGGACCATAGGGATATAAGGTCCCTCCCCGCTTTATCCTTATAACGACATGGGTAGGTTAGGCTGAGAAACAGTCCAGGGTCACCCAGTGAATTTCATGGCTGAGAGGCAATTTGAATCCTGAATGCCCCAGCCCTGCTCTGCAACAGATTGACCTGGTTCACAGGATATGGTTTAATTTGCACATTGGCCTGCCATATCTTACTCACAGGCACTGTTTTCACACAGGTTTCACAAAAGCCCTATTTGCTATGGCTTGTCATCCTGTGTGAATGCAGGTAGCATGGGTGGTTTATTTATTTATTTATTAAACCATTTTTACGCCGCCCCATTCACCGAAGCCTCGGGGCGGCTTACAACAATAAGTTAAAATAATTTTAAATCAAAAATATAAACATTAAATTAAAAATACAAAAATACAGTATAAAATAAGCCGCCCTGGCCAGATAAAATCCAATAATATTAATAAAAAGGTCTTCGCCTGGCGCCGAAAAACAAATAACGACGGTGCCAGGCGGACCTCTCTTGGGAGTGCGTTCCATAACTTAGGTGCCACCGCAGAGAAAGCCCTCCTCCGAGTACCCACCCTCCTAATTTCTCTCACGGAGGGCTCCCAGAGAAGCGCCTCCCCCGCCGATCTCAAGGGGCAGCCGGGCATATATGGATGCAAGCGCTCCTTCAGGTAACCAGGTCCCAAGCCGTTTAGGGCTTTATAGGTCATCACCAACACCTTGAATTGGGCCCGGACTTCAATGGGAAGCCAGTGAAGCTGACGGAGAACTGGAGTCATGTGAAGGGTTTAAGGGACAGACAGTCCAGAAATAACCCATGGCTTCACTTAGGTACTTGAGGATTTCCTGACCTTTTAAAATGCAAAAATGGTGCTCATGGGCACCTGGTGCAATGTGCTAGCCTCCACACATAGATTAAGACATGGCAAGCTATTGTGCCATGCAAACCAGGCAACTGAGATTAGCTCCAAGAATCTTGTCATGGCAGTTAGAGGAGATCTATAGTTCAAAGAGGAAAAGTTGAAACATACATGCACACACAGACTGGGTGCATAGAAATACTTCAGCTCCTTTCAGCAACCACATGGTGTTCAGCAAGAGGTTTTATGAGAGAGATTGGACTTGTAGGACAGCCACAGAGAGAAAGATGTGTCTGCCTCTGCACACAGCCCTGCTGCATTTTGCTGTCCTGATGCAAAATAGCGTTTCAGCATTTAATTCTAAGACCCCTAAAAGGATTACCTCCCCAGCTTGTCACTAAAAACACTGCAGACTGTGGTGATGCAGCAGGACTGTATTTCTGAAATATATAAAGAAGAATTACAATGGCATTGACTTTTAAAGAAAATGCCTTTGAAGTGTTTTGCTTCAGCATTTCATGAATGTTAAAGAGTACAGAAGGAGTTTATTTCATTCAGGTTCAACAATGTTCCTGTCATTTCACTAGGCTGTTACTTTATGCTTCATTATTTTCTTCATCGCTGTGTATGTTCAAGCAAGATAACATGTTGCCAGAGCGAAAGGTGGAAAGCAAGTCAGTCTTGAAAGGAATTTGCACAGCAGAACAAAAGACAGTGACAAAGACGAAAAATAAAATGCCCCCTTTATTTCCTATTTTTCACTATAGAAAAGGCAAGTTTCAAAATATCACATTTGCTAAGTCTTTCTGTATAGGTCAGCCTTCCTCAAGCTGGTTCCTTCCAGATGATTTTACTGCAATGCTCAGCAGTCCCAGCCTGCACTGGCCAAGAGTCAGGAATGATGGGAGTTGTCACCCAAAACTTCTGGAAAGTACTCAGTTGGGAAAGGCATGTATAACTGCTCTGTCATTCAGTCTCTCAAGGAGGCAACATCACACTAAGAAAGTGAGGTTTAACTTTTCATACTGCAAGGGCCACGTGAGGACTTTGATATGGAACATGGGTACCACACAATAGATTACATTTCCATATCATAAATTAAAGTGTTCACAATATGTTCATGTGATTTAATACACAGAATTAATATATTTAATTAAGGATTAAACACTTTGTGAGCCTGTGAACTATACAGAGATCACAGGCAGCTCCTTCTGACTGCAGACCAAGCATAATGACCGCTCCTTTGGGGTGGTCTATTTCTTTCTTCCCTGTTTTTCTACCTGGAAACCTTCCCATCTGACCCTGTCTGGGAATGGCATGTTAAGCCTCTTGCACTTGAGCCAGCAAACTCTTCCAAGTATGTCCTTCCCATTCCTGGTGATGAGCAGCTCCTCCTCATCAACTGGAGTAGTGCGGGACATGCTAGGTGAGGCCACCAGTCTGACCCACTTTCTTCCTGAACCTCAGTGGGGGGCGGGGGGCTCTGAGCATCAAGAAGGCCACAGAACAAGGCCTTGGGACCTGCATGAAGCCTACAGGCCATGTGTTGGACCAACTTGCGCTAACAGATATTAGAGTCCTGTGCTCATAGCATGCACCTAAAATGCATTGTAACTTTTTGCAAAAGAACAGATTTCAAAACTTCTATGTGCTATTACATATGATCATATGCATCCATCTGTCAGTTGAGCAAAATAATAAATAGGATGTCCTTTATAGCCACAGTTATGTGGCTACTTTAATCCAGATATTCATATTCAAGCATGCAGCATTCTCTGTTACAAAGACTGCAGAAATGAGGCTGTGCTATGTTACATTTTAACTAGCCCAGTCTCCAAGGTGAGCTACAGGCAGCCAAGAAACACAAGCAAGATGCCAGGATCTGGGGTGAGGGGCATGGCAAACCATGAGAGAGAAGCAGGAGTCTGCCTCAGAACCAAGTCAGAGCTACCATGTCAAATGACAGTTCAGTGCTAGATGTCCGAGCAGATAACCAGCCAGAAGCTAAAGCCAATATGAGCAATCATTACCCAGGCAAAGTCCCAGCCTGTGCTTTCTGGGAAGAGAGCTAATAGCCCACCTTGGTAGTCAAACTGTCCAGCAACTCTTTCCCTCCTGTAATAATGCTTCAGCCTGGAAAATATCATATGTAGATCTAGAAATATGCAGATGCAGCAGTAACTCAAAGTGTGGGCAGCATTAGTCATCCTTTGGGAGAAATAGAAATAAAGTAGGGAAGGGTAGCCTCCAGCCCACAGGCTGAACCTGGTCTGCAGTATTACCCAGTCCATCCTGTGGTGGATTATGGGCTTCTTCCCCTATGTGCAACCGTCCTCATCTCCACCCTGGATCTGGGATAAGGAATCCCCATCAAAACTTGGTAGGGCAAGTAGTGTGAAGGGGAATCCATTGGTTGGGTGTGGGTACAACAAATACCCGCAAGTAATCCATGCTGAGCCCTTGAGTGCAGATTTTCCTGTTGCCTGAGCCCAGTCAGAGTCAGAAAGGTGAATGCAACCATTTGTGTTCGATGCAGAGTTCATGCCCTGCTCAGCACATATTCCAAATTCCTTTCCTTCACTAAACTGGAAACAATATGGATGCATATTGAGAGATTTTATTTGCTGTTGCATAGGAAGCAGATAGAAAAGTGAGTGGTAGGTTTATAATTTTGGTCTCAGAATCATACTATTTTACACAAAACATAGCACATTTAAAAAAGCATTACTATCATAAACCAATTAAGGTGCAACACTATTGACAATGAGTTGGATCCAGACCTAGTAATGTTTAAAGTAGAGCCAATTTAATTAATCAGACTTTGATTTAATTTAAATTAGCTATGACTAACCTGATTTTGGTTGGTTTAACTCTGGACTGGATCCAATGCAGCATATAGGATAATGAGTTTAAGTCTGGCTCAACTCATTGGACTGGATCCAATGCAGCATATAGGATAATTTAATTGCTGCCTGAAGAATGGGATGAAGAGTGATCTCTCCAGTAATTTCTATCCTGCAGTTCCTTGTAATGCCCAAAATGGTCCTCTGAGTGGCTGAGGAACCATCTGAAATACCATAAGAAGCAACATGAGCTGTAGAAGAAGAAAAGCTCCCTATCAAATTTCTCTGGCAATAGGCCTTTGCTGGATCCTGATAGGTCTCCCTAAACAAAAGAAGCATAATCCAAATTTGGATCCAATCCATAGGTTTGAATTTATACCACAAGCCCTATTCTTAACTTCTGAGTATCTGCTAACATTTCCAATTGATTTTAGCAGATTAGAGCTGGCACTTCAGAGGCAGCAGCCAGGAGTCCTTTACATAATATGAGATATATTGAATTGGAATTCAGAAAAGTGCATGTGTGAGGACTTTTCTCTGTGAGGGCCCTCTGTGAGGACTTCTTCTGAGTAACTTTAATATAGGTAAGAACATAAGAAAAACCAAAGGCTGATCTCATCTAGCATTCTGTCTAGTTACACAATAGTCAGCTACCCTCAGATAAGCATTTGTTTCCCATGGAAAAGCTGCTTGTTACCAGTATGGGCATATAACATGTCAACTGTAACCCATTCTATCCATTGTTCTGTGGATAAGAGCCAAGTATCAGGTGAGGCCACAGTTGCATGGGCACTGTGCATATAGCCAGTGTGGTATGTGCAGTTGAAGTCTGCTGTGAATTTGCAAGGATTTCCAATCATACTTTCCACTTCTGTGGAAAAGCTACTTCAGGTGAGGCCCTCTACACAATTCAACTAAATACCACTGTGCATTTGTAGACACAATGCTAAACCTTGGATCATTGATTCAGAGAACGATAGATACGTAAGCAAGCGTGACTCTCTTAACCCCCTGTCCCCAACATATAGAACTGGTTTCTCTGTGCTTTCAAGAATACAAGAAACCTCCAATATGTTCTTATATATTTTAATATGCATTTGTAAATCAAACTGTTTTTCAGGCATGTACACTAGAATGTGAGGGAAAGCTGCCCTCTGCCAAAGCTTGGGAAACCTGCAAGGAACTCCTTCAAATTAATAAACTGGAACTTTCCCAGGAAGGCAATGGTGCCCTAGCAGACAACCCAAAACAGGATGAGAGTCATTTATTAGCCAAAAAATACGGTGGGTTCATGAAGAGATATGGGGGCTTCATGAAAAAGATGGATGAGCTTTATCACATAGAACCAGAGGAGGAACCTAATGTGGGAGAAATCCTTGCTAAAAGATATGGAGGGTTTATGAAAAAGGACTCAGATGATGATACCTTGGCTAACTCTTCCGATCTGCTGAAGGAGCTTCTCGGAACAGGAGAAAATGCTGACATTGGGCATTATCGGGACCTGAATGATAATGATGGTGAGGTCATCAAGAGATATGGTGGTTTCATGAGCAGCATAAAGCGCAGCCCAGAACTGGAAGATGATGCCAAAGAGCTGCAAAAGAGATATGGTGGCTTCATGAGAAGAGTGGGAAGGCCAGAATGGTGGCTGGACTACCAGAAACGATATGGAGGATTTCTTAAGCGCTTTGCTGAATCTCTTCTTCCTTCAGATGAAGATGGTGAAAGTTATTCCAAAGAGGTTCCAGAGATGGAAAAGAGATATGGTGGATTTATGAGATTTTAATACCCTCTCTTTTGCCCTTTCCATCTCAAATCAAAGACTGCCTCATTGATCATAATTTATTGTAATGTGTTGCTTGTACTGTACAGTTTTTTTACTGTCCTAGTTAATAATGCAACCTGATCTCTGTTATTTTGAGTTCTGTGCTCTTTTAAGTCAACAAATAATTTCTGTTTTAGTCTAACTTGTCTATGTTGTACTTTCATGCTAAATCTGTTTTAGTTACCATATCCATTTCTTTAAAGCAGTGCAAATTGCTTAACTGTATGTACAATAAATTGTCCATCCTAACTGCATAATCTATCCTGAAGTGTTTATTTTATTAGCAACTACTGGTTGGTTTAAAGGATAACATTTAAAGCTACAGCCATATAGCCTACATGAACGTAAAGAACACAAGTAGACATCACAGCACTAAAAGATAACCCAACTTGGTTTTGTTGAGGACAAAAAATACCTTCTTGTTGTTGTCTGTGAGAGAGACAGGCAACACCTGTAAGTAATTTAATATTTAAAAAAAAGACTCATTGTGGTAGGTGCATATTAACAATAGATAGTAAGCCCATCTCCAGTTGGGAACAGCAGCTACAATCATAATACACAGCTAATTGAAGGGTGACAGCCTAAGGGCGTCATTGCCATTTGGGGCCTTTCAGGGCCATGTGGGGGATGGGCTGGTCAGGAGGGACTTTGTTGGTTGGTTGGAATTTGTATTGTGATCGGTGGGGAGATTTTAAGGGTTTTATTGCAATTTTAACTTGTATTTTAGACTAACTTTTTAAATGGATTCATTCCTGGCCACAGCTACGAGTTGCCTGGGGAGCGCGTAGGCGCTGCCATTGGGGTGGTCATGGGCAATGGACGTTATGGTGTTGGGGGTTTAACGAGCCGGCGTAGAAGAAGGAGGGACAGATGGTTGACACCTGTTCCTCCTTCTGGTTATTTCCCCAGCCGGAGGGTTCCAGGTAGGCTTATCAACTGCCCCCGGGCCTGTTGGTGCTGTTGCTTAACGCCAGGTCAGTCCATAATAAATCATCCCTCATCCACAATTTGTGGATGTAGGGGCCGACCTGGCTTGCATAACAGAGACCTGGGTGGGAGAGTGGGGGGGATGTCTCCCTCTCTCAACTTTGCCTGCCTGGGTATCTGTCCAGCACCAACCATGCCTGGAGGGGAGGGGAGTGGTGGTCGCTTTAGTTTACCAAGCATCCATCTCCCTCATGGGGCTTCCTGTTCTCTCGAGGCCAGGTCTAGTGTGCCTCTATTTGGTGTTGGGCGACCGAGACAGATTGGGGATTCTGTTGGTGTACCGTGCACCCTTCTGCCCAACAGACTCCCTGCCTGAGCTGACAGAGATCATCTCAGACCTGGTGTTGAGGACTCCCAGGATGCAGGTCCTGGGGGACTTCAATCTCCATGCCAAGACTGTTCTGACCAGGGTAGTTCAGGACTTCATGGCCTCCAACATGTCATTGGCTCAACCCATGAACGTGGACACACTCTGGACCTGGTTTTCTCGAAAGGGCAGGAAGAGGGGGATCTGAGGGTGAGGAATTTATGTCTGACACCCCTATCATGGTCAGATCACTTCTTCATGAAGTTTGAGCACGAGAACGGTCTTTCCCTCTGTAAGGGTGTGAACCTGATTGTGTTGGTCCGCCCCCGGAGCCAGATGGATCCGGATGGATTCCTGAAGATTCTGGTTGATAAGGCTGGTTGAATTTCCGGTTGATAAGGCTGGTGCTCCTGTCGATGCTCTGGTCGAACTATGGAATGGGGAAATGACCAGGGCTATTGACACGATCGCTCCTAAGCGTCCTCTCCCACCTGGCAGAGCCCTTTCATCCCCCTGGTATACACCTGAACTATGGGCGATGAAGCGGGTTGGGAGATGTCTAGAGCGTAGTTGGAGGAAATCACGGGATGAATCTGACTGAACACACTTGAGAGCTCACTTTCGAGCCTATGCTGTGGTAGTGAGGGTGGCGAAAAAGAAATTCTTCTCCACTTCCATTGCCTCATCACAATGCTGTCCAGTGGAGCATTTTCGGGTGGTACAAGGGCTGGTTCATCTGGGCCCCAAGAAAGACCCCATACTGCCCTTGATGGCCCGCTGTGATGACTTTGCCAAGATTCGTCACGAGCTGGATTCCACTAGTGACTCAGAACCTTCAGGGGAGGTGCCAATGTTGCCATCTGGTCCAAAATTGATAGATGAGTTCCATTTATTGTGGTGGACAAGTACGTCCCACCACCTGCCTATTGGACCCTTGCCCATCGTGGCTACTTAACAAAGCCAAACATGGGATAGGGGCCTGGATCCTGCAGGTTGTCAATGCCTTTCTGAGGGACGGCTGGGTACCTGCCCCTCTAAAGGAGGCAGTAGTCCGGCCAGTCCTAAAGAAGGCATCCCTGGATCCAGAGATGGCCACCAATTATAGACCGGTGGCCAACATCCCATTCCTGGGCAAGGTGTTAGAGCGGGTGATGGCGGGACAACTCCAAGCATTCTTGGGTGAAACTGATTATCTGGACCCATTTCAGTCCGGCTTCAGACCTGGTTATGGTACTGAATCTGACTTGGTTGCCCTGTATGATGACCTGTGCAAGGAGAAAGACAGGGCGAGTGTGTCCCCGTTGGTCCTCCTGGACCTCTCAACGGCTTTCGATACCATCGACCATGGTATCCTTCTGGATAGGCTAGCGGGATTGGGAGTAGGAGGCACTGCTTTGCAATGGTTCTGCTCCTACCTCAACGGCCAATTCCAGAAGGTGGTGCTGGGGGACTATGGCTCTGCGCCATGGCAGTTATGCCATGGAGTACCGCAGGGATCCATTTTGTCCCCTTTGCTATTTAACATCTACATGAAACTGCTGGGAAAGGTCATCAGGAGGTGTGGGCTGTGGAATCATCAGTATGCTGATGATACCCAGCTCTACCTCTCGTTTTCCACCAATCCAAGTGAGGCAGTGGCTGTACTGAACCGGTGCCTGGCCAAGGTAATGGGCTGGATGAAGGCCAATAAACTGAAGTTCAATCCAGGCAAGACGGAGGTCCTGTTGGTAGGCGGTTTGGGCTTCGGGGTAGGGGACCTGGACCTTATCCTGAATGGGTTAGCACTCCCTCTGAACGACAGGGTCCGCAGCTTGGGAGTGCTTCTCGACCCAGAGCCGTCGTTGGAAGCTCAGGTGATTGCGGTGGTGAGTAGCGCTTTCCTTCAGCTTTGGCTGATCCATCAGCTGCTTCCCTACCTGGAGAATGACTTCCTGGTGACAGTGACACATGCATTGGTTACTTCCCAATTAGACTTCTGTATCGCGCTTTATCTGGGGCTACCCTTGAAGACAGTCCAGATACTTCAGATTGTGCAAAATAGAGCAGCCAGGTTGCTGACAGGGACTGGGCATTGTTCTCATATAACCCTAGTCCTCCGTCAGCTTCACTGGCTCCCCATCAAAGTCCAGGCCCAATTCAAGGTGCTGGTTATCACTATAAAGCTCTTAACGGCTTGGGACCTGGTTATCTAAAGGAGCGCCTGCGTCCATATTTGCCCTCCCACCCCTTGAGATTGGTGGCAGAGGCCCTTCTCCGGGAACCCCCTGTGAAAGATATTAGGAGGGTGAGTACCGGAGGAGGGCCTTCTCTGTGGTGGCGCCCCACCTATGGAATGTGCTCCCCAGATAGGTCCGTCTGGCGCCGTCATTATTTGTTTTTCGGTGCCAGGCCAAGACCTTTTTATTTAAAAGTTATTTTAATAATTGCTGATTTTATTTATTGGTTTTAAATTATTATGCCAGGATGTTTCCAGTTTTTTATATATTTGTATAGATATTTATTTATGTGTTGGAAGCCGCCCCGAGGCTTATGCGAATGGGACAGCATACAAGAATTCCAAATAAATAAATAAATTTCTATGTTTAGCTTTTTACAATAATTAGTAACTGGAAAACATCATAGCAGAAAACATTACATCTTGACCTACACTTCTGGTGTCAAAATATCTGTTTCCAGGCTTATTTTTACAATATAGGACCTTCTTGGCAGAGGTTTGTTTTATATTTGCAAACTTCTTCTCTCTCTTTGATAGAACACTGGGTAATTTACACTTGCTTTTTGGTTATCAGGACAACTTATGTTCTTCAGTCTCTCCTTCTGGCCCTAGAAAATTATTTGGGGATTCTTGAGACACATGATCAATAATGTATTACAGGGCAACCCATACCCATCATATACATTTTGTATTTGTAAATCAATGTATTTTTTGTATTTTTATATTTAATGGTAATTTATTATGTACTATTGTATTTCAATGTATTTCATCATGTTGTAAGCCGCCCCGAGGTTTCGGCAAGGGGCGGCATAGAAATGTTATAATAATAATAATAATAATAATAATAATAATAATACATACATACAAAACTGCCAGCACGCCATGCTGTGGCTCTAGGTCATCTGGTAGGGATGGAGCACAACTCTATTTCTTCCAGAGTTTGAGAAAAGGATGGCACTCCCTTCACCTTGGTTGTGTGAATTGTCTGCTTCTGAAAGCCTGTTCTTGAATCTGGTATGATGAATCTGGGTAGGAATCTCTTTAATCCAGATGAGAGACAGGCTGACTAGGTTGGGTTCAAAGTGTTCTGAACATACAGAAGTGTTGTTTCTTGCCACCTTAAAATCTTACAGAAAAGTTTTGTGTTTTTCTACAGCTACTACTTGGACTTGCAAGTCTTGCCTTGTTCCACTTTCTCTTGAGGAGTCAATTGCAGGTCCTTTTGTACTACCTTGCACTTCTTCAAGGTAGTTTGAAGGTTTTGCAGCTTTCTTTACATCACCAACCACTCTCCTGGGATAAGGGTTCAAATGCATAAATACAGGAGTTTCTGGCTGAAGTTGCCAGAGTTAGGAAGGTTAGCTTGTTATTCAGCTCTCAGTGGTCCTTCCTTGACACTGAGTCTGGATTTTGGCTCCAGGATTGGGCCTTATGTGTGGCTCCAGCCCCTTC